CGCTGAGCAGGGAGTCTGACGTGGGGCTTGATCCCAGGACCTGGGGATCATGACCTGAGCCAAAGGCAGCCTCTTAACTGACTGAGCCAAAGGCAGCCTCTTAACTGACTGAGCCACCCAGGGATCCCAAGGGCATACATATGTTTTGACATTTCAGTTGGATGGGGTTGTGGGACTCTTTTTTAAAATGGTAACGTCTATATTTACCACAGGATAGAGCAAATACCCACTTGTCGGCCATAATTGAAGAACTCCAGTAGAAAGTTTTTCATTATTTCTTTAAAATAGACAAAATTTAAAGCCCTTCAAGATATGCTAATACAGTCACAGTACTCGTGTGTGTGTGTGTGTGTGTGTGTGTGTGTGTGAAAGTTCACTTATAAAATGCCTAAAAGAGAATTACAAGTGGCCCATCTTAAAGGTTCTTCATATAATCATTTCAGTTGTCTCTTTTCATATACTTTCATTGATTCTTCTTTGATGAATCTACAGAACCGAGGCCAGTGCTCCTTCATCTGTAGTCCTTTGTACTACTAAAGGGCATCTTTAGAGGCACTGCTTCCAGTACTGCTGAGACACAGTATTGTTGGTGTGAAAGATTTGCCTTAAATTTTGATGATGTTGTTGCTACTTAGAGCCTTCTAGCATCTAGAAAAATCCTGGAGAATCTAGATACTCATTTTCTACTTTATAATTTCTGTAGGGAGAAATTTCCAGAAGTAGATTGCTTACTTTGAGGAGTAGAGTATTTCTTTTTGTGCAGATACATCTCACATGGCTAAGAGTACACTTAGCAAGAAAAACTAGAAGACCAAAGTTTACTAATTTATGTCATATCAGTGACATTTTTTAAAATTCTAAGACTTATGATCTTGTGGGGCACCTGGGTGGCTCAGTCGTTAAGCGTCTGCCTTCGGCTCAGGTCATGATTCCAGGGTCCTGGGAATCAAGCCCCACATCGGGCTCCCTGCTCAGCGGGAAGCCTGCTTCTCCCTCTCCCACTCCCCCTGCTTGTGTTCCGTCTCTCGCTGTGTCTCTCTGTCAAATAAATAAAATCTTAAAAAAAAAAATTATGATCTTGTGCATATTCATTTTAGGCTAAATTTAGTTTTGTACAGTTGAATTAATATCTCAGTTCATCTTGGGATATTCACTATTAACTAGAAAAGTAACTTACTTTAAAAGTTTAATCCATTTTAACAATGTGGTCTCTTAATGTCAGTAGCATAGCTTATTTTTAAATATTTTCAGGAAAAGTACAGAACATTAAACAAGTAAAAAAGCCCACACAGCTGATTTGCAGATATGAGTGGTCTACATGCTCCTAACCTAGTGCCTGTGTGAATTTGCAGTATCAGAGTAAGAGTATTTTTTCTTGTAAATTGCACACTGTATGATTTTAGAAATTTCTGTTTAAGACTCAAGAAAAAATACATATTTAAAGCCTGGATATTGTAGCTTATGGTACTACATTGTATAATAAAAAAATAGATAAGTGATTTAAGAAGTTAAGAAAGAATAGTACACACAAAAAGGATTTGAACTATTTTAAATTATTCACTTAATTTCTTTATTTTTCTTTTAATTACAGGGGTGATGACATGCAGCATTCCTAGATCATGTTAAGGACAGTCATCTCTGTCAGTCTTCTCAGAAAGTCTGAGAAAAATCAGTGAATAGAATTAAATGTAACTTTGTTATTTACACATACAATGTATACATTCGAATATGCCAGATCGATATATTTAATATTGTATAAGTTTTCTGTTACAGCAGCTGTCACAAATTACCACAAACTTAGTAACTTAAAACAACATAAATTTATTATTGTACAGTTCTATAGTTCGGAAGTCCAAAATGGGTCCCGCTGGATTAAAATCAACAAGTTGGGCAAGGCTGTGTTCCAGACTCTAGGGGAGAATCTCTTTCCTTGTTTTCAGTTTCTAGAGGTTTTCCACATTCCTTGGCTGAAGACCCCTTTCCTCCATATTTCAGGCCAGTAATCATTTCACTCTGGCCTTGTTTTCATTGTTCTGCCTCCTACCTACTTTCTTCTTCTGCCGTGCCTTCCACTTTGAAGGACTCTTGTGATTATACTGGGCCCCCTGGCTAATCCAGGATCATTTCCTGTTTTAAGGTTAGCTGATGAATAGCCTTAATTCTAGTTACAAACTTAATTCCCCTTTGCCATGTAACCTGTACGTTTTCACAGGTTCCAGGGATTAAGATGTAGACATTTTTAGGGCCATTATCCTGCCTACCACAAATATTGGCTAAGAATGCTAAGATTACTATTTCTTTTTAAGAATCTTTGGGTTGTTGGGGCACCTGGCTGGCTCATTTGGTATAGAGCACGCAACTCTTGATCTCTGGGTTGTAAGTTTGAGCCCCAGGTTGAGTGTAGAGATAACTTAAAAAAATAAAATCTTAAAAAAAAAATCTTTGGGTACCTGGGTGGCTCAGTTGTTTAGCATCTGCCTTTGGCTCAGGTCATGATCCCAGGGTCCTGGGATCGAGCCCCGCATCGGGCTCCCTGCTCAGCAGGAAGCCTGTTTTCCCTCTCCCACTCCCCCTGCTTGTGTTCCTTCTCTCGCTATATCTCTCTGTCAATAAATAAAATCTTAAAAAAAAAATCTTTGGGTTGTTATAACCTTAATTTGGAGAATCAGCTACTGATAAAAGTGTACAATAAAATGGAAGCAAACTTAAGAAAATCAACCAGTCATATGAATATTGGACTATGGCACCCAACCAGATTGAAGTAGGATTAAAGAAGAATTTGCTATTGTCATTTAATTTTTTTAAGCTAGTTTTATAATTACATTATGATGTTAACTTAGTAAAAAATACTTCACTTTACATAGTTGTGTCAGATTCAGGAGGTTTTTTTTTTTCTGGTCTAGTTTTTAATTTTTCAAAAATTAAAAAAAATTCAACCTCAAATACACTATTATCAGTTAAAGCATACTAAAGTAAATAAACTTAATTGAATATATTGAAATGTTGGCTTATATATAAGACTAAGTAATACACTACCCTTATAGAAGACAAATATGTATGTTCCTTATTGTAATAATTGGAATATCCTGGAATTCAAGCTTACTGTTTTTTTTGGGAACTAGTCAACGTTTTTTAGAGCATTACATTGTCTGTAAGGTTTATATATTTTCTAGTAAGGTATAAACAAGTTAATGAATGGGTTGGAGCAGAGTGCCAGTGACGTAAATTTCAGATTCTCTGTGTAGTTAAGTTCATCTAAGTTTTCAATGACAATTTTTTTTTTAAGATTTTAATTTGAGAGAGAGAGCCAGAGAGCGCCCACATGAGCAGGGAAGAGGAGTAGAGGGAGAGGGGAGAAGCAGACACCCCACTGAGCAGGGAGCCCTACGACTGATGAGGATGACATGGGGCCTGATCCCAGGACCCTGAGATCATGACCTGAGCCACAGGCAGCCGCTTAACCGACTGAGCCACCCAGGTGCCCCTTGATGACAAATTTGATTATTTTTCCATAACAGTGTTTGTATAAGTTAGGTCATAAAGAGAATCTAGTGAAACAGTGTGGTGCAGTCCATGTAAAGTAATAATTTTCAGTGCTGGAAGTCGATGTTATATCATCATTTTCTGCAATGGATGGTACGTAGCAACAACAACTAAGAGTTTGTGTGTATGGAGGGGAAGAGTACCATAAATTCCTCACAGGAAATTCCTTTCTTCTTCTTTTTTTTTAAGATTTTATTTATTTATTTGACAGAATCACAGCGAGAGAGGGAACACAAGCAGGGGGAGTGGGAGAGGGAGAAGCAGGCTCCGCGCCGAGCAGGGACCCCTATGCAGGGCTTGATCACAGGATCACAGACGCTTAACCACTGAGCCACCCAGGCACCCTAGTTTCTTCATTTTTAACAATGTGTCATATTTAGGGGTGCCTAGGTGGCTCAGTTGGTTAAAGTGACTGCCTTCGGCTCAGGTCATGATCCTGGAGTCCCAAGATTGAGTCCTGCATCAGGCTCCCTGCTCAGCGGGGAGTCTGCTTCTCCCTCTGACTCCCCCCCCATGTGCTCTCTCATTCTCTCTCTCAAATAAATAAATAAATAAAATCTTTAAAAAAAAAATAAGAATGTATCATAGTTAGTTCCACAATAAGTTTTCTAATTTTTTAAATTTCTGTGATTTCAATAAATAACTTACTGTGATAGCTTCATCCTTACCTCTACTATACTTATATCTAGATTGTTCAGAATTTCTGATCCTTCTTTATAGGTTATTTTTATATCTAATTTCTTTTGTTTATGAAAATATTTGTTTCTTAGAATTGTTGGCTTGGGAAGACCTACTTTATTGTGTCTTTTTTTATTTTTAGTCCTCAGAGTTGAAGAAATTCTCGAACAAGCAGACTACCTGTATGAGAGTGGAGAGACAGAAAAACTTTATCAGTTGCTGACCCAATACAAGGAAAGGTAGGCAATGTATGATAAGCCTGAGTTTTCAGTTTCCTCAAAATTTTTGTTATTTAACAATTAAAATGACTCTTGGTGCTTGAAATTTTTATACTTTTTTAAAGTTTTTACTGCAAAATAACATTTTTTAGAGTTTAATTTATAGTATGTTTCTTACAATAAATGATTCACAAGTGCTACATGTCTCATTGATTTAGAAAAGGTGATTCTTACTCATTCTAGTGGAATGTTGAAATATTTTTTTCATTTTGCTTTGGATCATGTGAGGTAGTCATTGAATATATGGTTATCTATATTGTATATTTCTCATTTTTTTTAAGTGAATTTCTTACTGGCATAAGAGGTAAATGAATTAGGATGTTTGTATGGCATCATTGAATAGTATCTGTGTATCACTTTAGAAACAGTTTTTTTAGAGAAACTAAAAATACCTCCTTTTTCTATTTTTAGTATTAGGTTACATGTTTGAGTATCAGTGTGCAGTCAGTTTTTGGGAGGATGTAGGTGGAAGGAGAGTCTGCCCTATAAAATAGGCTTAATAAGGCTAAATTCACATTTCCAGATCACAGATTACCTAATCCTAAACTAAAAATATTGAATCATTTTCAGCTACCTTTCTTAGATTCCTAAAACCAGTTCTGTCTTCATGACCCATCAATTTTACTTCCTAAATATCTATAGAATCCACTTTTTCTTCTCCATTTTTCCCTTAGTTACTAGTAGTGTCGTGTTTGGCATTTTATAGTCATTTTAGTAATGACTTGAAAAGTAAGCTGTAAGATAGTTACTCCATCTTTATTTAATTATAAATATACTATTGCTACCTTTAGTTTCAAAATTTTATGTGAATACCATATTTTGGTAAATATATAATGGGCTTAAAGGCAAGCATTTAATAAAAAGGAGTTTTAATGTTTTAAAAAATACTTCTAACTCTTAATTGTGGTTATTGTTTTATTTATTAACCATTTCTTATTTTATATAAGTATTTTCATATGGAAATCCTTCAAGGAGTCCAGGCCCTCACTTGAAATAGTCCATGCATCATGGCATGGATGACACATTGAAACATAATATTTATTTTGAGATTCTGTTATATTCAATCATTTATTTATTAACACATATTTATCATATACCTATTGTGTGCCAGTTACTATATTTGGAGCTGGGGATATAGCAGTTTTGTTTTGTTGAGCATGACCCACTCTCTAAAGTTTGTGGGTTTTTATGGTACTGTCTGAACCAGTTAGTGAGTTGTCTGAAGTGTCTCATGCCTTAGGTTTTATGTTGAATTTTGTAGTGCAGGTGTTTAGAGAATTCAAATACAAAGATATTTTCTAAGGAAGTTAGTATTTTTATTTATTCACTTGAGAGAGAGCGAGAGTGAGAGAGAACAGGCAGGGGTTGGGGAGCAGAAGAAGGAGAGGGAGAAACAAGCTCCCCGATGAGCAGGGAGCCCAACGCGGGCCTCCGTCCCAGGACCCTGGGATCATGACCTGAGCTGAAGATAGATGCTTCACTGAGCCACCCAGGTACCCCAGGAAGTTAGATTTTAGATAATTTAGGAAAGTTAATATTTATCTATAATATTGGATATTTTGTAGGAAATTTTAGCAAATAAAGTTTTATGTGAAAATATAACATTATGAATAATGGCTTTTGATACTGCTATATCTTCATTGACCTGAAAGACCACCATATGTATTCATTAGTGATGTGACCTTTAACAGTTTTTAAATGTGAGCTAAAATGGTTATTTTATATTTATTTCAAATTAGTGAAGATGCAGAGTTACTGTGGCGATTGGCACGGGCATCACGTGATATAGCTCAGCTTAGTGGGACCTCAGAAGAGGAGAAAAAACTCTTGGTCTATGAAGCCCTAGAATATGCAAAAAGAGCACTGGAAAAAAATGAATCCAGTTTTGCAGCTCATAAGGTGAGGTGCTTAAAGTAATGAAACTGTTACCATATGAGAGGTACATTGGTCTATACTTATTATTCCTAATTTACAGAGGAAAGAAAATTTGTCTATTTTAAAGAAGTAAGGAAGAGATTTATTTTTATAACGTTGTTTCAGAAAGATGTAGTTTTTTTCTTTGCATTCTTGAACACTTATTCTAACTTTATTAGTGTGTTGATAAATTACTTTTGTGAATGATTATTTTTAAACAAAAGTGTTAGTTGTTTCGTGAATTGCCTATGTCTTTATTCCTAGTAGTATAAGCACTTGACAAGTGTTTACTAATTTTCCTTACATTATACTTCTGTTTCATGCAGAGGTGAGAATAGAGCAGCTGGACGGCTAAGACCTTGTATAACTTTCACATATAACTCTGCTAGTTCCTGAATTTCCTAACTGGTTTAGAATGGTGTTTTTCAATTGGCACTGTGGGGACACATGGTGACATTATTGGTATTTGGATTAGGACATCACTTTATGATGTTGGACTTTCCTCAGTAGATCTGCCAAGTCATTGTGACAACCAAATTCCATCTCCACCCATTTCCAAATCCTCCCTTTAGGGGCCAGTCTCCCTCAACACCCCTCTAATACTGGTTTATATTAAAAATAAAACAGATACGGATTCCTTAATTTGTTGAGATTTGTTTCATGGGCCAGAGTATGGTCCATCTTCGTAAATATTCTTTGTGCATGTGAAAGGAATGTTTATTCAGCTATTGTTGGGAGTATTTTATAAATGTCATTCAGGTCAGGTTGGTTGATAGCCTTGTTCAAGTCTTTTGTATCCTTACTGATTTTCTATCTACTTGTTCTATAAACTATTGAGAGAGGCATGTTGAGATGTCCAAGTATAATTGTAGGTTTGTCTGTTTCTTTGCAATTTTATTAATTTTTGCAGCATGTATTTTAAAGTTCCTATTAGGAATGTAAACATTTAGGATTATTGTACATTCTTGGTGCGTTAACCTCTTTATCACTGTAAAATGATTCCCTTTATCTTTGAAATACTCTTGGTTTTATCGTCTACTTTGATATAAACATAGCAACTCTTGTTTTCTTTTGACTGTTAGCATGTTATATCCTCTGTCCTTTTACTTTTAACTGTGTCTTTATATTTAATATGTAAACAGGTGATTAAGTCTTGCTTTTATTTTTACTTATATATTTCACATTATATAAAATTCATCATTGTAATGCATATACTTCAGTGGTTTTTCACATTTTCCCTGTGTTGTGCAACCATCAGCACTAATTCCAGAATATTTCTGTTACCCCCAGAACAAACCCTATATCTACCAACAGTCATTTCCAATTCTCCCCTGCACCTGTTACCTGGCAAACACTAATCTACTTTCTGTCACAATGAATTTTCCTATTCTAGACATTTCATATAAATGGAATTACAATAGGTGGCCTTTATGTGTCTGGCTTCTTTCCCTTTGTGTAGTATTTTCAGGGTTCATCCATGTTGAGTAAGTGACAGTACTTCATTTTTTTTATGACTGAATAATATTCCATTGTATGGATATATCAGTTTTGTTTATCCATCAGCTGGTGAACATTTGGGGTGTTTCCACTTTTTGGCTGTTATGAATAATATGCTGTGTACAATTGTGTACAAGATTTTCTGTGAACATTTGCTTTTCTTTTTTTTTCTTATGGAGGTAAAGTCACACAGCACAAAATCACCCATTTTATAAATGCACAGTATGGTGGCCTTTACTACATTTATAGTGTTGTACAACCATTACCTCTAGTTCCAGAACATTTTTATCACCCCAGAAGGAAACCCATTAAGTCCAATTAAGTAGTCACTCTCTGTTCCCTCTTACTCCCCTGACAACCACTAATTTCCTTGCTGTGTCTATGGCTTTACCTTTTCAGGATATTTCAGAGAAGTGGCATCATACAGTATGGGATCATTTGTTTTTGACATCTTTCACTTACCATGTTTTTGAGGTCCATCCACATTGTAACATGCATCAGTATTTTATTTCTTTTTATGGATGAATAACATTCCATTGTAGGGATATACCACATTTTGTTTACCCATTGATTAGTTGTTGGACATTTGGGTTATTTCCACACTTTTGGCTATTGTTTATAGTGTAAATATCAACATTCATGTACAAGTACTTTTTAAATACCTGGTTTTTGTTTTTGTTTTGTTTTGTTTTTTAAGATTTTATTTATTTGTTTGACAGAGAGAGAGACAGCAAGAGAGGGAACACAAGCAGGGGGAGTGGGAGAGGGAGAAGCAGGCTCCCCGCTGAGCAGGGAACCCGATGCGGGGCTCGATCCCAGGACCCCAGGATCATTTCCTGAGCCAAAGGCAGATGCTTAAGGACTGAGCCACCCAGGCGACCCTAAATACCTGTTTTCAGTTCTTTTGAGTATATATATCTAGGAATGGACTTGCTGGGTCATACGTAATTCTATGTAATTCTTTTTTTTTAATAGATTTATTTATTTATTTTGGGGTCTGGAGAGAGAAAACGAGCAGACTCCCTGCTGAATGCTCAGGGAGCTAGATATGGGGCTCGATCTCATGACCCTGAGATCATGACCCGAGCTGAAGGCAGATACTTAACCAACTGAGCCACCCAGGCGCCCCCATGTAATTCTTTTGGAAGAACTGTCGAATTGTTCTTCAAAGCAGCTATATCATTTTCTTTTGCCACTAGCAGTGTGTGAGGGTTCCAGTTTCTCCATATCCTTGCTAACACTTGGAATTACCCACTGAAAAAAATTAAAACTAGTGCATATGAAGTGCTTTCTTATGGTTTTGCTTCGCATTTTCCTAATGAGTAATGATATTGAGCATCTTTTCATGTGCTTATTGGACATTGGTTTTGGAGAAAGGTCTATTCAAATTCTTGCCCCATTTTTCAACTAGGTTTATCTTTTTATTGTTGAGTTTTGAGAATATTTTCTGGCTATTAGTCTCTGATTAGATATATGATTTGCAAATATTTTCTCCCATTCTGTGGATTGTCTTTACTTTCTTGATGATGAGCTTTGATGCACAAATTTCTAATTTTGAGGAAGTCCAGTTTAGTTTTCTTTGATTGTTTATGCTTTTGGTGTCCTATCTGAAAAACACAGATTTTCACCTCTGTTTGTTTCTAAGAGTTTTATATTTTTTAGCTGTTACATTTAGGTCTTTGATCCTTAAAAGAGTTAGCTTTTATACATGGTTGAGATAGGAGTTCAAATTCATTTTTTTGCATGTAAATATCTAGTTGTCCTACCATCATTTGTTGAAAAGACTGTTCTTTCTCCATTTTCATCTTTGATGAAAATCAGTTGAACATAAATGTATAAGTTTATTTTTGAATTCCCAATTCTGTTTCATTGGTCTAATTGTAGACCTGTTGGTCTTTGTGATTTTCATATGGTGAACCATCCTTGTATTTTGGGATAAATCCCATTTGGTCATGTTGTGTCTTGATTATTACAGCTTTGTGATAAGTTTTGAAATAAGGAACTGTGAGTCTTCTAGCTGTTCTTTTTCAAGATTATTTTCACCATTCTGAGTTCCTTCAATTTCCATACATATTTTAGGATCAGCTTGTAAATTTCTTCAAAGAAGCCAGTTAGGTTTTTGATAGGGATTACATTGAATCTGTAGGTTAGTTTGGGGAGTATTGCCATCTTAACAGTATTATGTCTTCCAATCCACAGGTATGTGTTGTCTGTTCATTTATTTAGATGATTTTCTTCTTTCAACAGTGTTTTGTAATTTTCCGTCTTAAGTCTTGTACTTTGGTTAAATTTATTCTTTAAATATTTTATTGGAATTCTTAATTTCATTTTCAGATTGTTCATTGCTAGTGTATAGGAGTGCAACAAATATTAGTATATTAATTTTATATCCTGTAGTTTTGCTGAACTCATTTATTGGTTCTACTAGTTGTTTTGTAGATTATTTAGGTTTATTCTATATTATGAACGGGTCTGTAAATAAACTATCCATAGATAGTTTTACTTTTTCTTTTCCAATCTGGACCCCTATTATTTCTTAGTATCTTGCTCAATTTCCCTTGCTAGAACTTCAGTACAGTGCTGAGTAGATATCTTTGTTTTGTTCTTGATTATAGGAGGGTAGCTATTTGGCTTTCACCATTTACTGTGATGTTAGCTGTGGGTTTTCCATAAATGCTCTTTATCAGATTGAGAAAATTCCCTTCCATTCCTAGTTGCTGAGTGTTTTTATCATGAAAGGGTGTTGGATTTTGTCAGATGCTTTTCTCTGTGTCTGTTGAGATGATCATGTTAGTTTTTTCCCCCCTTAATTCTTTTAATTTGGTATCTTACATAATTGATTTTCATATGGTGAACCAACCTTGTATTTTGGGATAAATCCCACTTGGTCATGTTGTGTAATCCTTTTCATATGCTGCTAAATTCAGCTTGCCATTATTTTGTTGAGGAATTTGGCATCATAAGAGACACTACTCTTTAGTTCTCTTTTTTCTTTTCTCTGGTTTTATTGAGAAAAAATTGACATACATTGTTGTATAAGTTTAAGGCATACAGCATGATGGTTTGGTTTGCACATATTGTGAAATGATTACCATAATAGGTTCAGCTGATAACCTGTCTTCTAATATAGATGTGGTAAAAAGGAAAGAAAGAGAAAAAAAATTTTTCCTCGTGATGAGAACTCTTAGGGTTTATTCTCTTATGAACTTTCCTATATATCATACATCAGTATTAGCTGTAGTCTTCATGTTGTACATTACATCCATAATACAGTTCACCCTTGAACAACATGGGGAGAAGCTACTAATAACCTGTTGACTGGAGGCTTTAATGATAACATAAATAAGTACATATTTTGTATGTTATACGTCTTACATACTGTATTCTTACAATAAAGTAAGTTACAAAAAAGAATATTTCAAAAAAATGATAAGGAAAATAGATTTACAGTAGATTTCTCGAAATCTGTGTATAAGTGGATCTGCACA